GAGAAGGAGGAGGAGGAGGACGACGGCGAGCGGGAGGGGGATCCGAGCGCTCTCTCTCCAGGCTTGTCTCGCAGCGAGCGGCGGACGCGGAGAGCCAACGAGATCGCCTCTCCGCCTCCTTCTTCCCGCCCCTCTGGCACGAAGGGGAAGGGGGAGAGCGGAGCGCCACACGGACTGCCTGGGACCGGCTTTCCCGTCCAGGGTTTGGCTCGCGGTGAGCGGCTCGGGGGTGGTTTTAAGCACGGACGGGGAAAAGAGGGAGGCCCGGGAATCAGCCAGGCCGGCGAGCGGACGGAGCCGACCCCCGCGTAGCACGCGGGGGGAAGCGCTGCCGCTAAGAGAGAAACGAGCAGGGCAGTTCCCGTCCGCGGCCTTTGCTGCTCGGAACTCCTGCCTGGCCGTCTCTTCCCTCCGCCTTTGCTCCACTCCAGCGGCACACAACAGGTTTTTGTTTCTTTTTCAACCATCCTCCTCCCTGCCCGTGCCCATACACGTGCCTGCTGGAGGAAAGTGAGACACGTCTTGCCTGCAAAGTTTGTAGGGCTGCCTTTAGTGCCCGGACGGCACGGAAGATATTCAGAGGAATTTGAGGCTTAAGTTCTAACAAATCCAAGGATATTAGTGCCGCTCTGTGCTTTAAGAGTTCGGCGTGAGAAGACCATTACTCGCCTCTCTGAATTAGGATACGAACTTCAGCTAAAAGGGAGGGGGAAAAAAAGGCGGGCTCCTGAGGGGAGGCGCAAGGATGGGGACCCGCCTCCCTGAGGCATTTTTCTCCCTCCCATTTATGAATCACTTCACGTTGACAGCAGCTTCTCTTAAAAAGGGAATGTAGAGATGCTTCTCTGTTGCCCACGTAAAAATCATTTTGGTCCTAAGTCTTGCCATGGTCTCTCCAAATCTCTGGTCACAGCATGCCTTATTTTCTAGACCACCAGCTGCCTTTAAATATGAGGAGTTGGGTGTGTTTTGTGCTGCTTTGGAGATGCAGCTATATTATTCATGTTCATGTTAGTGAACAGTACCGCAGGTCCAGTGCTCACATCACAGCATGACATCATAAATGGAATCATATTTTTCTTCATTATTTTTATGTGAAGTCCTTTCACATGCAGGTAGTCCTTGTTTAGTGACTGCCTTGGACAGCAACCATTCACAATTAGGAAAATGATGAAAAAGTAACTTTGCAACCAATTCTCACATTTATGACCTTTGCAGATCTGTAAAACAAAGGAAAGCTGAAGTAACATCATAAGCACAGTCACAGCTTAATTTAGTGACCTCTTCACTTAACAACAAGTTGCTGATCTCAATTGCGGTCGCTAAATAAAGACTACCTGTACACTTTCAAATCACAGCTCGATAACCCATGTTGTACTAGTAAAAATGACAGGGTTTCTTGGTGCAAAAAATGTGAGACATTGTTCTTAGAATTTAAGGGGAACATTCAAATCCATTGTTACAGTACTTTTGTTATAATTAATACTTTATAAAACTAGATGTGCTAGTATTTTCCTGGAATTACACTATTGGGAATTCTCAGCCACTGTTTAGAAATATTTTGATTTCAGGGGTATTATTTAAATCAAGCAATTGCTGAGCTGGTAAGGTAAGATGAGCAGCAGAAGGTAAGGCTGACATAATCAGAGACAGCTTTCTGCAACATGGTTGCCCCTGTTCTTGCTGTCCAAGTGGTGGGGGCAGTGCTTCTGGACTGGCATTGCCAGCACATTGATAGGACTCTGCTTACCATTCACTTTATAAGTACATTACCCAATATGTCCTGCTTATATAAAAAATAATCATTTGTTATGAATTGTCTAGATCAGTGTTTCTCAACCATGGCAACTTCAAGATGTGTGGACTTCAACTCCCAGAATTCCCCAGCCAGTATGGGAAAACTTGTCTTAACTCATTTCTCTTCTCCCTAAAGTGCCAAGAGAAGTAAAATGGGGAAAGAAGAGAGGACATTCTCAAAGACAACCAGAATACTGGAGAGTGTTGTATTTTACGCACAAAGGACTATTGCATTTCGGGATGCGGGTTTATCAGAAGAAAATTGATTTGGACACTTGATAGATTCATGAATAGTGCACAAAGAAAGCAGATTAAGATAAATTGTTCTCCACATACAGGTTGTCCTCACTTAACAATGGTATTTGGGACTGGCACCTCCGTCACTAAGCAACATGGAGGTAAAGTGTGACAACATGTGACTGTGCCAACTTACGATGGCAGTTGCAGAAGTCCCAGTTGCTATAGTTAAGGGAATCCCATGCGGTTGCAGTGTGCCACAGTCACCTGATCACCATTTGCAACCTCCTGCTGTCTTCCCCATTGACTTTGCTTGTCGGAAGCTGCCACTGAAGGTTGCAAATGGCGATCACGTGACCACGGGATGCTGCAACTGACATAATTGCAAGCTGGTTGCCATGTGCCCAAATTGTGATCACATGACTGTGCGGGTGCTGCAATAGCCACAACTATGAGGACCTGTTGTAAGTCCCCTTCATTCAATGCTATCATAACTTCAAGCAGTTGCTGAACAAATGGTCATTCACTGAGGTCTACCTGTAGAAAACTTGGAGGCATTCAGTCAGACTGGTTAATCAGGAGGGATAAGAAGGAACAATCTTTCCCATGATATTTAAATGGTGATGTTTTTGAAAAGAGAAATAGGCATAGTCATGAAGGCTAAGTTTAGCAGTCAGTTGGTACTTAGGACTTTCAATAATAGCTTCAATAGAACTTCAGTGTCCCAAGGCAATATAGCCCAATGCTGTACCTTCATATGAGAAGGTAGCTGATTTAACAGCATAGGATAAAAACAGCATAAGTAAAATCCAACCCATCTAGGGAGCACCAGTTTGTGAACCACAATCTAGATAGCCTTTAGTATGATCTTTTAATGTACTTGTAATGTAGATAGATAGATAGATAGATAGATAGATAGATAGATAGATAGATAGATAGATAGCTCTCTCTAAGAGATGGCTCTCCATATACCTATTATTATAGGTATAACCACACTGAAAGCAAAATGCAAGTGATCCATGTATACATTTATTTTGGAATACAAATTTCATGAGAAACGGACATAAAATCTGAAATTAACAGGGAAGATGTTTGCGCTAAACAATGGATTAATAGTTAAAACAGTTGATTTTAAACTATTGTTTTAAAGATTTTGAGAGATTGCCTTCTGCATTCAACTTGGCTTCAGTATATACTTGGCACGGCATATATTTGGCACATGAAACATGTATCAAGTAAACAATATGACCTGGATTTCTTTAGCAACCTCTGAGGTACTGTAGTCACAATTTTAACTTCCTTAAGAAATCTGTGCTTGAACAAAACCAAAAATTCAATTTTATAAGATATTAAAAAGTGAAGTAAAGGTTAATATTATCTGTCTGTCTGTCTGTTGAAGAAAGAACTAGAATATCCCATTTCAGCAAATCAATGGACCCAGGTACTAAAAAATGTGAACTATGCTACTTATGATTTAAAAATTAAGCTAATTCATCAGAAAATGTTATTTTGGATCTACTGGATCCCTCAAAGAATGTTTAAAAAGAAATGGACATTAGACTTTTTGTAATGAATTTGAAAGTTCTTTAACTCATATGATTTGGACTTGCTCTGTTTGTTCCAGATTCAAATTAATATATAACATAAACTTGGGAGAAAATATTATATTTGAGGATCTCACTGTGATATTGAATTGTATTCCTAAAATACAGAATTTTTCATCTGCTGAGGAACTTTAACTTTATCAAGGTGGGGATATAGAAAAGATAATTTTATATAGCTGGAAAGAAAGGCATTCTCCTGATTTTAGGTAATGGATCCAAGATATGAATTTCTTATTTGTTTTTGAAAAATCTTTGTGCTGTAATATGAGAACATAAAACATTTTGGAATATGATGCAGATTTAATGATAAATTCAATGACTGAATCAATTTCATATATATTTTTGTTTTTTATGTTTAGTTTTTGTTTAGTTCATTTAATCACCGTATTTTTATCATTATTCAATGTAGACTTTTTTCTTTTACATTTAATTATTTTAACAATATTTTTCTTAAAAAAGGCAAAATGAATGCAGTTTCAAGAACTATCTCCATGTTTTATTCTTATGACATAGTTGTGCAAAGACCCATTACAGTTATGATTTTTGCAATGCTAAAATCAGATATGATTTCCTGTATTTGGAAACCAGATTTAAGTGCTTCAAGGATGGCAGTTAAAATGAAGCTATGAATGAATGAATGAATGAATGAATGAATGAATGAATGAATGAATGAATGACTTTATATAGCAGTTCCTTTACTAATCCATTTATTTATAATCCGTGTTTTACCATTATTGAATTTTTTTTTTTCCTTAACCAAGAGAATATTGGCATCATTTAGAGTTGCCCAACTGCAAGTACCCCTAGCTGCTTCATGGGAATTTTCTCAGCAGGGAAAGTAGAAACAGCAGGAGCATCCATGACACAAGGAAAGAGAGTCCTAGCAACTACCACCACCTGTCATTGCAGCAGGTGAAACCGTTAAAAATGGCACTAGAATGAGTTGAGGAGATCGTCTCTTGTAGGCTGCAAGAAGCAGCTATTTTTGCACTTGGGAGTTTGGAGGAACTGATTGCTGGTTACATTATTTATTGAACTCTAATTGCGCAGGAATGTTATTTAATGTGACTTTTTATGCATATTTAAAATGATTAATAATATAGATAATTGTGCTTTAATTATTCATGTTCTTATTTCATAATGATTTTAAAGTGTTACACTCTTATTGGAGTGTAGTGTTGTGTTCTATTTTGAAATGAAATAGCTTTGTAATGATGCATTTGCTATCCATTCATGATGATGATGATGACAGCAATTAAGAACAAATAATAATAGCCCAATATACTGGATAGGAAATCAACACCATCAAATAATAGTGTTGCCCAAATATCATTTGTGTTTGAT